CTGTGATTTGGTGCTGTGTAAATAAATACATTGAAATTGTTAGTTCGGTTTTGTTGTGTTTCCGCTTTTCTTGCTTCCTGTCTTTCTCCGTTATCTTGTTTCATGTTAGTTATTTGTCTCTCATTCATTTCCTGCTTTACATTGAAGGTTAGTTTTTCATGTCTGTATGAGTTATATTTGCTGATCTTTTCCTTCTTTCGGTGTTGTATGTGCCTGTCTCTCTTGGCCCTGCGAGAGACTGACGACCTGTCCAGCTGTATTTGATTGCTTTTGTATGTTTCTTGTTCCCACCTGTGTCGTATTGTGGAATTAGCCCACTGTGTTTCCTTGTGTATATTTTGGTTTCTGTTGTTTTGCATGAATTGTTACTGTTCCCTGTATGCTTCCTTGTTCTCTGTTCAGTTTTACATAAACAGACTTTGTATTTTCTAATTTAGCTTTTTGGTTTAACGGAATTAAGGATCTGAAGACTGTGAAGGCCCTAACAAACCATTCACTTTAATTTCATATTTACCTATCAGGGACCCCCACGAGCCATATGCATGGGTGGACTGTCACTATGGTCCTGAAAGCTGAACTATGGACAAGACTTGAGAAATGTCAAAATTACTAAATTCTGGGTTCGGAGCGATTATCTGCACCAATCTAATCAAATAAATACAAGTCAAGATAAACATTTTACACTACTGGATACAGATGATTTACTTGGAACAACTTTCGCATTGATTTGCAAAGACCCTTTAATTTGTCACCCATCTGTAGCTAGCCTTGTGTAAAACAGTTCATACTGTTACAATATGTCATTTTATTTACTACTCTAACCTTTGTGATTATAATAGTTTTTATTTTATGTGACTAAGATTTTAAAGATGCTTTATTTGCACACTTGGAGGCATTTTATCAGTCTGGATGTTTCCAGTAGAAAGGCGGCTTAGTTAACTTTAGTTCCTATTTTGAGTACTTTATTTCTTTCTCCCATGTAATGGGATTCCCTCTGACCTAACATTTGCCATCTTCATCCGTATGGGAGGAAAAAGGACCAAATTGGGACCAGCCAGGACAACACCTTACAGGGATTATGTCTATTTTGCTGTCGACTTGCTACATAACCACTCTGCTAATCTCTTTAACTAGATTACTGCAGCGACGGGCTGCTGCGAGAGGTACTGTGTCACCACTGTTAAATAGCAAGGTGGGGACAAACAGAGGATCCCACAAATCTTCAATCGCTTCACTGATCAGCTCGTTTTACTTTATTTCCTTCACCTTACACCCGCGTTACGTAAGGCGATGCTGTTGCAGTTGCATGATGCTTTCTTACATTTAACCCAGTTATACAATACGTAATGTTAATTCCTTCATTCATCACACACCTACACAGGGTTTATTGTTATTTTGTCTTCTCTGCCGGTGAATCATTTCACACCACATCAATTTGCATGATTATTCATCCATTTAGTTTTATGTAACAGCCAAAATCCCAAACAGGGTTTTGAAGCGCAGAGGTCGCTCTGATCCCAGACCATTATCTAAACTGACAAATTAACATTTCAAGCAAAATACTGAAGCTTTTGTATTCAGTGTAACGTTGACCCTTGATATGTTTTATTTAATTTTCCACATCAAACTGTTCGAAATGCAGTCTGCTATCGAACAGGTGTGGGAGAGCAGAGAGTGCACGGGAGCCTCACCTTCCACTACATGTTTACACTGGTTTCAGGTGGATTCAACACACCAAACCTCAAATAAAAGCTAATAATTAGTCCACTGTTAAAGCTAAAAACGTGTCTTCAGTGGGTTCATGCACTTGTGTTCTGGACATTCTTCTCCAGATGGGGGCAAATAAGTACTGGGTGTTTTTGTTTTTATTTTTTAACTCAGAGAATCAAGGTCAGCGTCTAAAAATATAGGTGTCTCTGATAAAAGGACATAAATCAGCAGCACACTGTTTCTCCTTCCCTCACCTCTCTCAGCCTCTCCTATCCTCCAGTCCCTTTCTCTCACCCTCTGATTCTCAAGTCTATTTCAGCACCACGTAGGTGTGCTGTTCTAAATTAGAAGAGGCTTCTTACCACTTTCTCTTGCTGGAGGAATGACTCACTGACTGCACTTCACACTTCACACACAGCAACCCAGTCCCAGTGACTGCCTTACTCTGTGTCCTAATAATGCACAGCTGTGATGGAGGGACCTGCTTTTGTTCACCGAGTATGTGACTCATGGAAAACTGTTGGAATATAATGACGATTTAGGCAAATATTTAGGAAATAGTTTTTTGTTTTGCTGCAGTTTGATAAACTACATGTTTACTGTTGGTCTGATAAGACAAGTGAATGCATCAACCACTTAAACTGCTGGTCTGCAGCTCAAATAAGCTCATGTTATCATTTCTGGAGCTTTCAGCGTCTACAAATCCATTTTTACACAGCAGAAGCTGAAGCCTATGTTCAAGTTCATGTAAATGAAACCTTTACTAATATTGCCCAGAATCGATGGAGCGTTTGAGGTGGACAGCTTGCATAAGCTCTCCTCTCTAAATGACTGCCAGCACATCCAGATATGACGTGATTAATTGTTGAATTCGAGTATTCAAGTGACAAACAAGACCTTTAAGGAAGCTTCACTAATGACCTGGGTGCCACCAAGTAACACAGTTAGCTCTTCTTTCTCTCCCTTCCTCCTCTTCCTCCTCCTTCGTGTGTTTTCTTTTCGCTCCTCGGTCGTCTGCATTCACACTGTTAATCCTGTGGCTTGCAGGAAAACACCCACCTAGTTTGTTATGCAAGAAGCGCGAGGATGAGGATCAGCAACAATAGGCACAGCAGATTAGTGGCAGAGCTGCTGGCGGAGAAGACAGTGACGATCGCGGTGTTGTGGAAGTGACTCAATCCCCGTGGAGTTTCCATGGTTGGTATTACAAGAAGCACAGTTTGGGGTAAACAACACAAGAGGCATCCATACCTTTTCACCCCCTTCTTCTCTTTGTGTGTGTGTGTGTGTGTGTGTGTGTGTGTGTGTGT